TTTCATTCACATAGATTCCAAGACTTTCCACGAACAAGCAACATTTTCACATGCAATTAAAAAAATCAAAAACCCATTAAGTTTGCAAAACGTAATGTGACCCGTACGCAAACACTGAATACAACAACGTCACAACACAAATTCAAAGACAAATACAACCGAATGTAACACGCACAAAACATGACAACATTGTAGATGTGAGTTAACATTACAACCTAAATGTAACGTCATTAGAGGCTAATGAAAGTATGCCAATGTATGGCTGTACTAGTTTTCATAAACCATTAACATTTTCATATTCAATTAAAAAAATCAAAAGCCTAGTAAGTTTGCGAAACGTAACGTGACTCATATGTAAAAACTGAATACAACAACGTCATAACATAAATTCAAAGACAAATACAACCGAACGTAACACGCACAAAACATGACAACATTGCAGATGTGAGTTAACATTACAACCTAAATGTAATGTCATTGGAGACTAATGAAAGTGTGCCAATGTATGGATGTACCATTTTCACAAACCAGCAACATTTTCACATTCAATTAAAAGAATTAAAAATTTAGTAAGTTTGCGAAACGTAACGTGACACGTACGTAAACACTGAATACAACAACGTCACAACACAACCGAACATAACACGCACAAAACATGACAACATTGCAAATGTGGGTTAACATTACAACCTAAATGTTATGTCATTGGAGGCTAATGAAAGTGTGCCAACGTATGGATGTACCATTTTTCATAAACCAACAACATTTTTACATTCAATTAAAAAAATTAAAAAACCAATAAGTTTGTGAAACGTAACGTGACACGTATGTAAAAACTTACTACAACAACAACACAGCATAAATCTAAAGACAAATACAACATTACGTAACACACAATACATAACCACATTGTAGATTTCTTACGTAACACACACAATACACACAATACGTATGTAAACACTTACTACAACAACGACACGGCACAAATCCAAAGACAAATACGACATTACGTAACACACATAATACAAAAATATTACAACCTAAATGTTACGTCATTGGAGGCTAATAAAAGTGTGTCAACGTATGGATATACCATTTTTCACAAACCAGCAACATTTTCACATTCAATTAAAAAAAATTAAAAAATCAACAAGTTTGTGAAATGTAACGTGACACGTATGTAAACACTTACTACAACAACAATACGGCACAAATCCAAAGACAAATACAACATTACGTAACACACAATACAACATTAGAAACAGGACTCAAATTCTAAGTTTTCTTATTGAGGATTCTGTGAGAAAAACCTTCTTGATTTCATCATCAAGTAATCAAAAGAAAGCACCTAAGTCTTAGGGCCGATCAAAATGGGGTGTCTACAGTTGCCCCTCTTTGACAGAGTTTAAAGTCATTTCTTGACGTAAGTGAATGTCAAAGCCCGAAGACGATTCTTTTGACAATGCCGCAAGACTTGGGCAAACAAATAAGATGCAAATGCAATTGGTTAAACCTGAAGGTTGCCTACGTATCCCTTTGCAAGGAATCAAACTAGTGTAGTTTAGGGACAGAATGTAAATGATATGCAATTGAAAATTGAACTTTCTTTTTTTTTTGTATTTTTTGAAAAAGTGCATAACGATTGTAATACAACAAGTAATATGAAACATAACAATGGATATAACCCAAATACATCCACGTAAGAGAACGAAATGTAACCGATGAATGGTCCCAAAACAAGGAAGGTATTAACCAAGGAATAGTCTTAACCAATAACCCAAGAAAAGAGAGGTATTAACCAATAATTGTTTGGACTGCCAACCAAGAAAGGGATAGTTTCGCCATCCTGATAAAGAGCCAATACAAGCAAGTGATTTTTACAACCCAAAAAGTGGGAGCCAGCATAAACTGTGTCAAATAGTGATGTGAATAGATTGTAGCCAAGTGATGCAACATGTAACTATGCAAATGATATAATAATTCAAGTGAAAGTCGATTTTTTCTTTTTCTTTTTTTATTTTGGAAACACATGATGTGTACAATGCAAGATATAATATATAGTGAAGCAAGCCTCATGCAAATGATATGAAATAAAGGAGGGTGCATCGCATACAAATGTGCATATCGCACAAATGAAAGAAGGGAGTGCATCTGTCACGACCCAAACCCGGCCCTATGGGTTTAGTACCGTAACCGGCCAGTAATCCGAGATTACCGAAGGCCTGCTTAATAGTAATACAGTAAAACAGAGTACAGGGCCTGGCGGAAGCCAATACAGTAATTAAACAATGTCCAATGAGCTGTGACAGTCAGTATGCCAAAAAGATTTTTCATGCATTCATACATAAACAGTACAGAACAGTATGTACAATATTGACATCCATTCAAACTAGGGACTCAACCCTACATAACAGTACAGAAACATTCCGTCTGTACAAAACAGTACGGTCTATACAAAATTTACAGTCACACAGTACAGGGACCTAATCCCTTGATAACAGTACGGTAAGTCCCGTCGCAAATGCTCTCATTTTTTGAGACGGCAAATGGTGCCGTCGCAAATGCTCCGCTTTTTTGAGACGGCATTTTCTTCTGTCGCAAAAAGTGACTTTCGTGTTTTTTTTTTGTTTTTAGTGAATATTTTTAAAATTTTAAATATTTTTTTTAGATGTACCTTACTTAGATATATCTAAAAAAAAATTATGAAAAATATTTTTAAAAAATAATAAATACATAAAAATACAAAAAAAAAATGTATTGAATTTTTTTTTTTTTTGTATTTTTGGTATTTAGTGAATTTTTAAAAGATTTTTTTTACAATTTTTAAAATTTTTAGGTGTATTTATGTTAGGTGTGTCTAAAAATTAAAAAAAAATACTTAAAATATTTAAAAAATTCAATAAAAACAATATAGCACGGAAACACAAGAAAGTATAATTTTCTCAAAGGAGTTTTTGGAAAACTCTAACCTAGCATAGTGATTATGGTTTTGAGATAGCTTCATATATATATAGTCACAAAATGGTTTGACTAAATTCAACGATATTTTTCTGTCGCAAAAAAAATTAAAAAAACAATGTCGTCTTACTCTTTTGATATAACATTTATCTTTTCATTCATTTTTTCATCTTCCTGTCTCTCTGTCTCTATCTCTCTCTCTTCTCTTTATCTCTTTCACTCATCACTCTTCGTTCTCTGTCTGTCTGTTTCTCTCTCTCATTTTCTCTCTGTATCTCCCGCCTATCTCTCTTCTCTCTATCTCTCTTATCTATTTTCTCTCTCTGTCTCTCTCGCTCATCTCTCTTATCTTTCTCTCTCTCTCTCATTTCTTATCTTTCTATCTCTCTATATCTCTCTCGCTCATTTCTCTTCTCTTTATGTCTCTCTCTTTTTCTGTATCTCTCTCTCGCTTATCTCTTTTCGCTCTATTTCTCTCTCTTTTTGTCTATCTCTCGCTCATCTCTTGTTTCTCTCTCTTTTTCTATCTCTCTATCTATCTATCTCTCTCTCTATCTCTTTTTCTGTCTATCTCTCTCTCTCCCTGTCTTTCTCTCACTCATCACCCTTCTCTCTATATCTCTTTCTCTCTCTCTCTCTGTCTACTTGTCTATTTGTCTACTTCCCCCTCACTATGCTCGCATTGTTCACTCTCTTACTCTCATCTTCTCTATTTATCAAGCTCCTTCTCGATTTATCAATCCACTATAAGAAAATACACTTTTAGCAACCACTTTGTCTATCTCTCTCTTTTGCTCATCACTCTGTCTCTTTCTCTGTCTTTCTATCTCTTTTCTCTATTCGTCTCTCACTCGTCTCTCTTTTTCTCACTACCCATCTTTTCTACCACATTTACCACTACTGCAAATGCTATTCAACTACCACCACTCTTCTCGTTCTCTCTCACTCTTCTCTCTTTTTCTCTCTCTCCGTCTCTCTCGCTCATCTCTCTTCTCTCTCTCTCTATTTTTCTATTCTCTCTCTCGTTCATCTCTTTTCGCTCTCTTTCTATATGTCTCTCTCATCTCTTGTTTCTCTCTATTTTCGATATGTGTCTCTCTATCTCTTTCTCTCTTTATCTCTCTCTCACTTATCACTCTTCTCTCTCTCTTTCTCTCTCTGTGTCTGTTTGTCTGTCTCTCAGTCTTTTCTCTCTCTCTATGTATCTGTTTGTCTATTTGTCTCTCTCCCCCATTGTGTTCATATTGCTCACTCTCTCCCTCATCTCTTCTCTATTTACCGAGCTCTCCACTACAAGAAAATGCACTTTTAGCGACCACTTTGTCTCTCTCTCTCTCGCTCATCACTTTGTCTTTGTCTGTCTGTCTGTCTATCTCTCTCTATCTCTCTTCTCTATCTGTCTCTCACTCATCTCTCTCTCACCACCCATCTTCTCTACCACATTTACCACAACTGCAAATGCCATTCCACTACTACCACTGTTGTACAACTATCATTACTACCACCATCACCACCACTCCACTACCACCACTACTACTACCATTACCTCTCATTTACTACCGCTGCTCTATCTTCTCTACCACTGCCACAACTTCACTGCTAATCTCATTTGCCATCACTACTACCACCACTATCACCTTTTCTCCACCACCTTCACCACTACTGCCGGTTCCTATCCTCTACCACAAAAAATTAGTTCCTGATTTTTAGTAAAAAAAAAAAAAATGAAAAATGGATCGCAAAAAAATATTTTTCGTTGACCACAAAAAATTAACTTTATTTTAATGGAAAATATTATCCCTACTTCTACCAAATAAAAAATAATAATTTTTTATTCATTAAAATAAATATGAAACAAATAAACTTTCAACCTTACTAAATGAAAAAAAAAAATTCATTAACTAAAAAAAAAAATCATTTTATTATTTAAATATTCATTTGTAATGGAAAAAAAAAATTTAAAAAAAAATTCCTAAAAAATTCCCATTTCCACCCCCCCTTCCTTTCCATTCCCGCTCGGTTGCCCCCACCCCAAACCCAAAATCCCCAATCTCAAAAATCCCTAATCTCTTCCCCTCTCCCATTTTTTCCATGCCCGCTCGGGTTTCCCCCCATCCCAAACCCAAACCCAAACCCAAAATCCTCAATCTCAAAATCCCTAATCTCTTCTTACGTCTCTCTCTCTTTCTCTCCGTCTCAATTTGTTTCAGATGCTGATTCGGATGATTCACGGTCGAGGAGGAAGAGGAAGAGCAGGAGTTCTAGGCGTAGAAGTAGGAAATCAAAATCAGTCGGTGATAGTGAATCGGATTCTCTCCAAGTGAGACAAATCTTGAGAGGAAGAAGATGGAAAATAAGGTAATGTGCTAAGTGGCTCATGTATTCTCTCCACTTTTTGGCTAGTAACCCACTTTTTTTTTTGTATTGTTTTGTGTCAGGTAAAACGAATGGAGATGGAGCAGAAAAGTTGCTCCTTGAAGGTCAAAAAACTAATAGAGAAACATGCTTGTATAACACTTGAGAAACACCGATTTGGAAGAAGTGGGACAGATTATGATTTTGCATCTCGTGAGCCTCATACAGCAAGGGAAGATTTTGAAAAGCTACAAGTTGAGCAATTAGAGTGTGTATCTGAGAAACCCTATTCAGGCCCTAGATGTGCTACCATGTCAAGCTGAGTTAGAGTTGTAAAGTTCATGTGAAGAAATAAAACTTTCATTAATTTACCTTTTGAGTTGATCTATTTTTTTTTTTTGCATTTGTATGCTCATCAACTTCTCTTTTCAGGCGGTGACTCTATGGTACAGGGCACCAGAAATACTCCTTGGATCTCGCCACTATTCGACTCCTGTGGATGTTTGGTCAGTGGGTTGTATATTTGCTGAAATGGTGAATCAGCGGCCATTGTTCCCTGGGGACTCTGAGATTGATGAACTATTCAAAATCTTCAGGTTTATAACCTGAACAACATTTTTTTCTGTTGTTTTTTGGAAAAAGTTGTATTTAGGCTGCTCATTTATAATTTGGAAAGCCATGCTCTGTATAGAAGTTTTTGATGGCCTCACAGATCAGTTACTTGTGTTCATTTTGACCTGAATGCATACCATTAAAATTATATGTATGTCCGTTTAGGAAGGAACTTGAGCCAATCATTGACATGGAAAAATGTTTTAACTGTTGAATGACATGGAAAAATTATATCTGGAAATGCTTTGTGCCAATACTTTTCTATGGCTTCACATTCACATTCCCTTTGTTGAACTTCTAGACGAATGATTAAATGACCTGCTCAGCAGCCACAGAGGGCCAAGACTTAAAATTAACTATGAATAGTGATGATCATAAGGCCTGAAACTCTAATGTGGTCTCCAGTTTTCAAACTAACTAGTAGTTGAGGCCCAAGGTTTGGGCCAGTTCGTTTGCTACATCTCAAGCTTTGTAGCTTCAATGTAATTATGTTATTGTACAACCGTTTAACATTTATCCATGGTCTTACAACAATTGTTGAAAAATCTACTAATTTTGGAGTTTGATAGAGTTTGAATTATAATTCTTAGTGGCTTCACTGTGTAAACTACTAAACTTTCTGCTGGGGATTGTTATGGAGTGTCTCTGAAGACTACCAGCAAACCACTTGCTGCAGTCAGTTAGAGATTTATTCCCCTTCCCTTTGATAGAAACACCACCGGGATACCACTGGCTGTAGTGGGTTCCGTATTTGTTAGATTCTTGTTCTTATTTTTAAAGTTTTTTTTAGTTATTTCTTCTTATATTCTATGTATAAAATTGGAAGAAATTTCTGCATTCGGTTATCAATAAAGACAAGACCAATGTTAGATAGATCCCAATTCTATAGTTGTAAATTTTTACTTGATGTTTAGAAAATCTGGAATTTTTTCATGGATAAGCAACTGCTCTAAATTAGAAGGAAGAAAGCAGGAAAAATGACTACTCTTGAATTTTATTGGCTTTATGGTTGAGATCCTTTATCTGCTTTTTGACATTTAGATATGCTGACCTACAGAAAGGTCTCAAATAACATTTTTAGCGACGGTAAAATAGTGCCGTCGCAAAAAGTCAAGAAATTTCAAACATTAGTAGCGACTACAAAGTGCCGTCGCAAAAGGGCAAAAATGCCGTCGCAAAAACATTAGCGACGGACTGTGCCGTCGCAAAAACTCTTTTGCAACCCCCCCAATTGCGACCCTCTCTTGCCGTCGCAAAAAGTCATTTTGCCGTCGCAAAAAGTTTTTGCGACGGCATTAGGAGTATTAGCGACGGTATTTTACCGTCGCAAAAAGTTGAAATTTTTGTAGTGTAGAGGCGAATGAAAGTATGCCAATGTATGGTTGTATTAGTTTTCATAAACCATTAACATTTTCAAATTCAACTAAAAAAATCAAAAGCCTAGTAAGTTTGCGAAACGTAACGTGACTCATATGTAAAAACTGAATACAACAACATCATAACACAAATTCAAAGACAAATACAACCGAACGTAACAAGCACAAAACATGACAACATTGCAGATGTGGGTTAACATTATAACCTAAATGTAACGCCATTGGAGACTAATGAAAGTGTGACAATGTATGGATGTACCACTTTTCATAAACTAGCAACATTTTCACATTCAATTAAAAGAATTAAAAATTTAGTAAGTTTGCGAAACGTAATGTGACACGTACGTAAACACTGAATACAACAACGTCACCACACAACCGAACATAACACGCACAAAACATGACAACATTGCAAATGTGGGTTAACATTACAACCTAAATGTTATGTCAATGGAGGCTAATGAAAGTGTGCCAACGTATGGATGTACCATTTTTCATAAACCAGCAACATTTTTACATTCAATTAAAAAAATTAAAAAACCAATAAGTTTGTGAAACGTAACGTGACACGTATGTAAAAACTTACTACAACAACGACACAGCATAAATCTAAAGACAAATACAACATTACGTAACACACAATACATAACCACATTGTAGATTTCTTACGTAACACACACAATACACACAATACGTATGTAAACACTTACTACAACAACGACACGGCACAAATCCAAAGACAAATACGACATTACGTAACACACATAATACAAAAATATTACAACCTAAATGTTACGTCATTGGAGGCTAATAAAAGTGTGTCAACGTATGGATATACCATTTTTCACAAACCAGCAACATTTTCACATTCAATTAAAAAAAATTAAAAAATCAACAAGTTTGTGAAATGTAACGTGACACGTATGTAAACACTTACTACAACAACAATACGGCACAAATCCAAAGACAAATACAACATTACGTAACACACAATACAACATTAGAAACAGGACTCAAATTCTAAGTTTTCTTATTGAGGATTCTGTGAGAAAAACCTTCTTGATTTCATCATCAAGTAATCAAAAGAAAGCACCTAAGTCTTAGGACCGATCAAAATGGGGTATTTACAGTTGCCTCTCTTTGACAGAGTTTAAAGTCATTTCTTGACATAAGTGAATGTCAAAGCCCGAAGACGATTCTTTTGACAATGCCGTAAGCCTTGGGCAAACAAATAAGATGCAAATGCAATTGGTTAAACCCGAAGGTTGCCTACGTATCCCTTTGCAAGGAATCAAACTAGTGTAGTTTAGGGACAGAATGCAAATGATATGCAATTGAAAATTGAACTTTTTTTTTTTTTGTCTTTTTTGAAAAAGTGCATAACTATTGTAATACAACAAGTAATATGAAGCATAACAATGGATATAACCCGAATACATCCACGTAAGAGAACGAAATGTAACCGATGAATGGTCCCAAAACAAGGAAGGTATTAACCAAGGAATAGTCTTAACCAACAACCCAAGAAAAGAGAGGTATTAACCAATAATTGTTTGGACTGCCAATTGAGAAAGGGATAGTTTCGCCATCCTGATAAAGAGCCAATACAAACAAGTGATTTTTATAACCCAAAAAGTGGGAGCCAGCATAAACTGTGTCAAATAGTGATGTGAATAGATTGTAGCCAAGTGATGCAACATGTAACTATGCAAATGATATAATAATTCAAGTGAAAGTCGATTTTTTCTTTTTCTTCTTTTATTTTGGAAACACATGATGTGTACAATGCAAGATATAATATATAGTGAAGCAAGCCTCATGCAAATGATATGAAATAAAGGAAGGTGCATCGCATACAAATGTGCATACCGCACAAATGAAAGAAGGGGGTGCATCGCATATAAATAAGCATACCGTACAAATGAAAGAAGGGGGTACATTGCATACAAATGTGCATACCGCACAAATGCAAGAGGGGTGCATCGCTTACAAATGTACCACAACACAAATGATAAACTTGAAATCCAAACATATCTCATGCGAGAGAAGGAAAGATAGTGCGAACACCAGGCACACCTAATGTTTTTAACCGAGTAAATCAACAACCTAACGCGTCTCACGCGAAAGAATGAAAGATAGTGTGAACACCAAACGCATCTGATGTTTTTAACCGAGTAAATCAACAACCTAATGCGTCTCACACGAAAGGAGGAAAGATGGTGTGAACATTAGGTGCACCTGATGTTTTTAACCAAGGAAAATAACTCCGAATACGTCTTACGTGAAAGGAGGAAAGATGGTGTGAATGACAGGAACACCTGATGTTTTTAATCGAGTAAAACAACTCCAAGCGCGTCTCAAGTGAAAGGAGGAAAGATGGTGTGAACACCAGGCGCACTTGATATTTTTAACCGAGGAAAACAACTCCGAACGCGTCTCATACGAAAGGAGGAAAGATGGAATCAATGAAGAGTGAAGCCCACGAAGATAACCCAAATCAAGGTACAAAGCGTAAATGCGAATTAAGATACAAAGCGTAAACATGAATTTAACGAAACTTCGAATGTGAATTTTAACAAACTAAACAAACTTAGAATCAAAACAATCACAACGATGTTTGAATTAACAATTTGAAAACAAAAGGAACAAAGCTCTTTTTCTCTCCTTTTCTATTATTATTTTTTTCTTTTTCTTTTCCTTTTTTGTCTTTCTTTATTTCTTATTTTTTTTCTCAATGTTTTTTTTCTCTCTCTACTTTTTTTTTTGTCTTTTTTTATTTTTTATTTTTTTGCTCTCTATCTTTTTTGCTTTTGCTTCGCTATAATGAACAAAACACCCACCTCTTGTTCTCACCATCTGATTAAACTTGCATTATACTTTATACAAAAGATTCATAGGTATGCATATACTAAAGAGCATACATATTTAGATAATTTGCAATGGAAGCAAGTCACAACTTATAACACATAATTGTTCGTATCAAAACATTTAAGCATATTCTTGATGCTTTCAAATTCATACTTATTACATGAATGCATCCTAGATCTTTTCTGGCCATATGCCCTTATTTACCACATTTAAAACAGGCTCCTAACACACGGTAACAAACTCCACGATGCCTTTTACTACAAATATTGCACATAAGAGATGTATCTCGGGAAGAATTCGAAGTACTTGAGGAGCCCGTGTTTTGCTTTTTCGAAAATTTCTTCTTTGAAAAGAAGCCTTGCCTTTTGTTAC